TAATTTTGAATAATATTATATATAAATAATATGAGTATAACGATTATCCACAATACACATATAAATAATATAAATAATAGATAACATTTTCATCAAATAATATCAAGATTAAATAACACAAATTAATTAAAACACTTAACAAAATTAAAGAAATATTTATTCAAATAATGCTCGTTCTTATATATTCGTGTATTTATTATTCGATCTTTTTAAATATCCAGTCTGGAAAGAATTATATTTAAAACTCAAATTCAGACTCGCGGTTTTACTTGATGAAAAATCCACGATGAATTCTTGCTTTACTTGAAAAGGGGTTTCAGGACACGGTAAAAGAACCGTGAACGAAAATGGCTGTTATCATTATACGTATTATTCAGCTATTTTACGCAGCTTATATTCCCGTATAAAGAGATTGGGTATTGTCGTTTCTATCGATTTATATGTGAAAAATTTATGTTCTTATCGATTGTATGGACGTCGAGTATTCTCCCGTGAAATAATATTATATATATTACGCTGCTGAAAAGATATATGTACCATGGATAGAAGTAATTATCCCCGACTTATCGTTTTATAAACGTATGTATGCAATGTTCTATCTCGATTGTTAGAAATGTACATTTTAAGACAGAAAAAAAAAAATAAAAAATGATTATAAGAGGAAAAAAGTTATACTTCGTGCCAGATTTACGTGCGATATTTATGCCGAATTAATTGGTGTGACAAAATATGTAAATGTAATTTTGAGCTCACAAGGTTTGACGTTTCTCGTATACTAAGTACTGAATGCGCACTTGCAAAGTGGTCCGCGACAAATGAGCGAGACGTATCGCGAGAGGATAGTTCGACGTTTCCATAGACAAGCAGCCTGAGCTAATTTGCATTGCGGTGGAACGTTTCGTGTTGGAGTTGGCTGCATCCGGGTGGCCATCCGTGCCACTTCATGTCGATCCCCAAAACGTCGATACACTCGGTATCCGTCGCTCGCGGCGTACGAGAAACTAATAACCAGAGTAGAGTGTTTCGTGAGAATAATTTGTAGTTTGGTTATATATGCTTTACAGATGTGTGCTTTGTCTTTCTCTCTATATATAACATTCTGTATAAACACTTTGTAACACATCGCGAGTACGTATATCAGAAGGATTTATTCGATTTTTATCATATCTTTCTCTGATTTCGAAATTAAGAGCAAACTTTCCGTTATAGATGTAAAAAAGCACTCGATATATCTTTCATATCTGTAAAGTTTGGAAGTTTTCTAAGTTGGAAGTCAAAAGTCACACGATGGCTTCAAGTTTAATAGTTCTGTAATTTATATGATTGTTACATCAAGGCGGTTTTCGTGCACTTAGAGTTGGCATAATGTAATAAATTACCAATGGAATTATATACGAATATAAATTACAGCCCTACAGATCGGCTTTCAAGAAAGAGTTGATAATTTTCGTATAAATTAGAAAGTCGCGTTATAGAAGCTGTCGTTGAAATTTCCACCATTTACCGCGGGACATTGCATCTACATTGGTACAGAGCATCTCGCGAAAAGACGACTGGGAGAAGAAATTTAACTCGCGCGACTGTTTCCGAAGACGATTAAACTTCATAAGCGGGCCGTTCTTTACGTCTGTCGGATAGGCGACAAATCCACGGATTAAATCAAATGCGCGATTCGCGTCTCGCGCAGCCCGAGGGGGAAAATCCAATCTAATAGGGAGGAAACGGAAGGCGGGAGTATTCTAAGACGCGCGAAGGTACTTTTAAATGGAGAACGAATCACTCGGAAAACTTTCGCACGCGCACATCGAACAGGTCGGGTGGGCGCGATCCAAAAGTTGGTCGTTTATTCGAAAGCGTATAATTTATTCGCGTGAATTTTCGACAAAAGCGGGGAAAAGATTCTCGTATTTACGTCGCGCACGCACGTGGCAGAGCCTGAAAAATTCCGCGATCGTAACACGTTGACAACAATGCATCACGTTCCTTCTCACGTGCTCCTCCTCGAGAGACCTCGCGACGACGGGTACACAATGCCGCCATTATGACGCGAGGAAAACGTATTTGGGAAAGTTTCCACGATGCGTCAGATGCTTGACTTCTCGGCCGACCTCGGGGACAAAACTGCGAAAACAGTTGAATTCGCCTATTCCAATAAATCCGTCTGTTTCGCCGATAAACTTTTCCACAATTTTTATCCGCATTTATATGGGAAAAAAAAAACCTGCACGACGCGATAATAAAAATTACCATCGCACAAATATTACAAGAAAAGAGAATTAATAATTTAGATAATTAGAATTAATTGTTCCACAATTATCGCTTCAGTTTTACTTCAGGCTCACCTTTTATAAATCTAATTTCTTCAATTTGGTTATATACGTGGAAAGAGGAGAGATCCATTTTATTATCAATAAAGTATTTTCAGTCCTGTGTTGTGTGTATTAAATTAAGTTCATTATTTTAATCTAATATGATAATTCAATTAGCGCTCGCACAATGTTTTCAAAATTGAAAGCTTGCTGACAAACTATCCGCAAAGTTTCGATCTAAAAAATGTCGTTCGCATGCGAGCAGACGCGGAACTATCGAGAGATATCAACCATGAGGCGCAGCTGTGCGACATAAAAAAAAGTCGTTCTTGAAAAAAAAAACCCCCTCAGCTTTGCGTTTTATCGCCGTCGTCGTTACTTTCCGCCGTTCTGCGCGTGCCTATCTATGATATCGGTGTTTCGTAATATCGCGATTCGCGAATGTTCAACGTGACACATGTGTGTGTGTGTGCATATATACACATTCAAATTTCACTCTCTCAAATTCTAATTAACTTGGATATTGACCGCAATGACGTAACACGCGGCAACCCTCACGTGCGTTTTATCTGTCGCTTGATACGCGTGCGAATCAAGGGAAGAAAAGTCACTTCTTTTCTTCCTTCCCGTTAATTTTTTTAATGAGATTTTTCTATCGAAAAATCGCTTTATTCAACAATGTTGAACAATTAGTTTTGCTTCTAGTTGCGTTCGAAAAGAAAGAAGCTGAAGAATGCAGAGCAAGAACAGAGTGTCATAATTTGTAAGGTTTGCTTCGAACATTAAAGTTAAATTTAAGTTAAATTATTGGAAATTGTTGTCGCAAATTAAAGACTTGTTCCGCTCTTGTTCCAAGCTCTGCAATTATAAATTAATTTCGAAAATTAATGGAAATTTAGCATTATCATTTTTCATTGATATATCAATATTTAATGGAAAACTGTGACTTTGCTTTAGAAATTATTTTTTAATTAATATATAAAGTAATATTAAAATTTTTTTGTTGCAATCTCTGATGTATTTGATATTCAATTCTTAAGATATTGTTTCATATTCATTCTATTATTTTATCAAACGGCTATTAAAATTCTCGTGAGCAAATTTATTTTAAAAAATATTCAAATATAAAATATGCGAGATGCACGATAGAAATAATTTTTAATATCCCAGAACAACACCACAAAATAATAAATGATAAATTAAAATATGAGGGAACAATACGCATTTAATATGTTCCGTGAAGCTTTGTAAAGCTCTGCTTTATCGCTGAGAGTACGATAATCACCAAGAGACGAATGTAATCTCAGATTCATATACGTGACATTTCTCTCTCACATGTAGGTCGCGCGATCAGCATAATTGCACACTCACCGCTCTCCGCGGACGGGTAAATGTTAAAGGCCGAGTCCTTTAACCAGGACGTGACCGCGACGTATTCTTTGACGAAGGCCGGTATCTCGCACCTGAGCACCCCGGTATTGCCCGCCAGGACATAGGCATCCCGCACTTGTACCTCGTACTTCTGGCGTACCACTGGAAAAGAAAAATTATTACGGTCGCTTGAGCGAGGAATGAATGCTCGCGAGAGCAGAGGAATGAGCGGGAGGGGAGCAAGAAATGGACCGCTATCGTTCTCCATGACAAAGGCTCGCGGAATGATAAAAAATAAAAGAGAGAGAAAGAGAGAGAGAGAGAGAGAGACGGAAGTAGAGAGAAGGAAAAAGATTATTTCGCCGTGAAACGGGATGTCGGAGTATAATACCGCCGGAAAAATGGAAAGGACCGTCCCGGAAGTGTGAGTCCCTCTTCTCTTCGATGGGTAATGTCGCGATTCTTCGTCCGGAATTCATTGTCTCCAATCCCGGCTTCTCGACAATTTCGGCGATATCGAACATATATATCGGTGTATCTAAGCCTGTCGAAATTTGCTTTTTATCGTCACGGTCTCGTCACGTCTCGACGACCTACGGCGATATACGGATTAATCTGTTCGCAGAGGCAGAGAGGGATGACGAAAGGGAAATCGGAGGGTCGAGAATATGACGGTTTAAGGAAACAGTGGGAGTGGAACGTGTCGCGCGACGATATATCGGGACTGTTTCTGTAAGCAACGTCGGATCCCCGAGTGATGAATATTGCTTTCCCGGCGAGCTTCCCGAGATCGGAAGACGACCGTTTCTGCTGTTCGCGTGATTAATAATGTCGCCCCGTTTCTCGCAGCAAACGCGTATTCTTCGACAAAGCTGGAATTGATTTCTCTCCTTCCGTAAAATTTAAATCGTTTCAAATATTCAACATCTGTCGACGAATTACGGGTTTAAAGTCGGATAAAATAGACGACGGGTACTTAATCTTCAATAATTTGTGCTTGACTATTTGTCTACCAAATCTAAATATATTAAATTTAAATTTAATATATTTAAAATTGCTTGGTATATCGTGAAGATATATATAAAATTGTCGTTCAAACTGTCGTAATTAGAGCAGAATCAATATTAAACTGACAGTTTAAATAAGAATATAATATCAGAGAACGAAAATACTAATAATTGATTTGGTTGAGTGTTTTTTACCGTCTATATCACTATCGATTCGTGAAAATTCTTTTTCCGCTAATGGACAAATGCAATTTTTTTTTTTAAACGTGTAATGCGATTTTACGTGTATCGAGATCCCGCTCGTCTACCATATATCAACTTACAATATTCAATACTATTAATTAGTATTCTTAATGAAGGCCTTTTATCAACGCTAAAGGACGCATTATTAACGTCGTAGCTTAGCATTTTTTTCCTCGTCTCATTGTTTCCGCGAAAATCAGCTACTGAGCTACTCTTTATACCGTGACGTCGGTAATTAGTGCTCCGTCTTCGTGGTTTTTACGGAAGCTCCTTTGCAACTTCCCATTGTCCGCCTCATTCAACGATAATCTATCCCCTTCAATTCCTATCCGAGCAGGAAATTTCTTTTTCCTGGTAGAAAACTACCTATTCACCAAAAACTCGCTAAATTCGATAAGCGATTCTTGGAAAAATCACACACAGCTGCGAAACGAAGAAATCGCGCGGCCATTTGTCTCGTACAAGATGTGTCTATCCCCGTCGATCGGTCGATACATTTTTCTCGTGAAATTACGCGGGAGGACGCGCCCGATCTTTCATCCGTAAAATTCGTTTAGAGATATCGCAGCGCGCTGGATTTCCTTCGGCTGTGGAGGGTACTTGTTTTATATCTGACCAAAATATCCGACGCTCTCTCTGTTTCCACTTCCATTCGTCGATAAATTTCGCGCGACTAATTAAAAAAAATCACGCAATAAAAAATCCGAGATGTATACTTTATATGCATTGATAATAAACTTATAAATCATTAATAATTATATAAAATCACAAGATTTGAATGTTCATGGAAGTAAAGATTAATATTTTCTTTCACTAATTACCATATCGTTTGCGGTCTAATTACCGCGTCTCCGCTCTTATTCGCCAATTTTTTTTCACTTAGTAAAAAATTATTTTCTGTTTTAAATTATATTATTAAATTCTCCTAAATTTATTTTTGTACATTTCTGCTCTCTCTCTCTCTCTCTCTCCTTGCGAGTGCAAAATGCATCGTGCTTCACAACTCTCGTGGTAAGCCGCGAATTTTAATACGGGCAATGAGCCTCGGTTGTTAGCCATAAGCGAGCCTTGAGTTTAGGGTCATCCATTTATTGCGGCAGCAGATGGGGAAAGAGCGAAAAGAGGGAGATCCCCTCGCTCGCGATAAATGTAGTTGGCTTAGCTTTGCCCAAGCGCGCGATCCTTCGCCGCCCTCCGATAGTCAGGAGTTTAAAACATCATTCCGGAGAACGGTCGATTACATTTACCCTCGGCGGAGGCGGAAACTCCAAGAAGGATGGCACGATCTGATAATGCTGAAGACCGTTGATTTTCCGCGATCGGGCTCCGCGGACTGCGGGGCATTCGAAACGTGCGGAGAAGACCGTCCAGCATTAATTTATTTTCTCGCGATGAATCGCCACTTTACTGTCACGGGATTGACGTTAAATACGTTTGTGAGAGACTTAATAATTCTTCGACAATATTTTAGATAACGGATTTTTACGAGATGATGGCGAAATGTGTCGAGTAACTGTATTGTCAAGTGCGGTTGAAAAGTGCGGTTGTGAAGAAATTTAGACAGTAATAATATTTAAAGAACAAACTTTAATGATGTTTGAAATTGAAGGCAACTTCTTGCGATGTTTTACGATATTCAACGTTTTAGAATCGATGTTAAGATTTTAGAAATAAACTCGATGTTTAAAGTCGACATTCAGTAACAATATACTATTTTATACTGAATCAAAGAACATGTCATTGATTAAAGCTTTTTGATTTAAGAGAAAAATTCAAGGTCTTATACGGAAACTATTTATAAAGTTGCACACATCACGATATCATCGTACGATAGTCTTTGTCTTTTTCCACTGTACGACGAGAGCAGGCTTTAAAGGACGATGAAAGATCAATCGACTGGAAGAGGGTGAGCGGCCGCGAGACGAGACGAGGAAAGCTGGGAAGAAATAAAGATGTCACACACACTCTCTCTCTTTCTCTCTCTCTCTCTCTCTTTCTTTCTTTCTTTCTCTTACCGGCCTTCACCGTGATTTCACGGCCGAGCACTTTGCCGACGCTGTTCGACGCCTGACACCGATAAACGGCCGAGTGGACATCGTGCCGGTAGCTCTCGGCGCCGAACGGCAAGAAGTACATGGAGCCGTTCATCAGCATCTCACGGATATGCGGTATCGGTAGAACCGGCGAGCCATCGCCCATCAACCAGTCGATCCTCGGCGAGGGACTGCCGTGGGCCGAGCAGTGGATCATCGCCCCGGTGTCGTTTGAAAACTCCACGCTCGAGCGCGGTTCCGAGACCAGCACCGGCCCTTGACTGTCCAGCACCACTCCTCGTCCTGCGAAATAAGAAGAGGAAAATACGATATTAGAGAAAAGTGGTCCTCTTGGAATCGACAAAGCGTCCCGAAACTGCTGATCTGAATTTTATGTTAAATTTATGAAAATCGATTTTTCTAAAGATGTCGGATACAGCAATAGTTTGTAGTGCTCTTTGAAGAGACACAGACGGATTTTTATGAAATCTCTCTAGAGTGAAAAATAAATTAAAAGCGTTCATATCTTCAAGTTGACTTCCCACTCCTCTTTAGAATTTTAATCCGATATTTGCATTGGATATATTTACTATTGAATTTTTTATATAAAAATATGCATTAAAAGTAGTAAAGTCGTGCGGTTACCGTCTGTTTTCAGTCGCAAGATTTTACTTTCACAGAGGGATGCACATCGAGATTGTGTGCTCGCTGCAGGAATAATCCCGCATAGTTTTCGGAGCAATGGCAAGTCTCTCTCTCACACACACACATACACACACGCGCGCGCGCAAGGAAACAATTTCCCATAAATCTCTGCCAATTTTTCCGCATCTTAGAGACGAGAAGATCTCTGCCACGAAGCCGAGACGGTTTATGCAATAGTATATTCAGAATGTATTCGGAGTAAGGAGTTCTGACTGTAAAATACGCAAAGCGCGATTCACAGCGACAAGAAGATGCAGTATGCGTGGCATTACGGCGAAAAACGCTAGAAAAAGTGCGCACGCTCGAAGGAATCATTCATCCGAGATGGAGCAATAATGTCGAATCGATCGTTTCTCCATCTGCATCGTATATCGAACAACAACGTATTTGATAGCCCATCCTTGATGTAAGGAGTATTATATCGCATAAAGAATGCGCGCGCAATAAATGATTCTTTGGATCGACTGTATATTTCATATACAAAAATATAATTTATAAAAATTTATTTTAAAAATCCATTTCTTTTCTCGAATTTTTCGAGGAATCTAAAAGTACCTGCATTACACATATTCTGTTTCAGAATTTTTCAAAATATCGATAAGACGAAAGATAAAATTACAGCCATAAAATATATCGACATTCGCTGGAGATAATATTAGGAAGATAAAATAAAAGAAAAAGAAAAAGAGAAATTACGCGATTTTCATATTATGTTAAAAGGCACGCGGGGATTGCGGGTCGTCGATTCCCGACAGAGAGATTTCTCTTCTCGAAGGTATCGAGAATAAAAATGCTGCGGAAGAGGGATCTAACGGATTGATCGCTCCAGTTACGACCAGGGATTCAAGCAAGCCGTCTTTTCATCGGCAATAAAACGTATATCGCGCTCGGCAGTGAGCGCATCCTATCCACCTCGCGTCCTCTTTCACTTCCAGCTTCGGTTTCCTGCCTCGTTGAACGAGGGAGGAAGTATCCGGCGGAAGATAACATAACGAAGTTATTAACTCGTCCGTAACGTGATCTCCTTCGACAAAATCCGATGCGTGAATATTAAAAGTTTCTTCAGTTTCTTTTTAAATATTCGCGCATTGAATAAAAAAAAAAGATCTATGCTAGGCTACTAAATATAAAAATTTAATAATTATGAGAAGTTCCTTACATCTTATATAAACACTCTATCATTTACAAGATAATCAAAAATCGTTATTAAATTGAAGAGCCCTAAAATTTGACCTGAATAAAAAAATTGTACGTAGTAATAACATTTTTTATTAAGTGTAAAAGTTTAGAATCCCGCGCTAGTAAAAAACCAAGATTTAGTTGAAATAATTTTGACTTTAAATCCGAGTCTGCAAAGCAAGAGATAACGTTTCATCGTTTCGCGAAAGCGACTCTTTTTTTTCGATCATAAATATACGCGGAGAAGTGAATCCGTCGAAATCGTTACTCGATTCGCGTTGGCCTGCCAAATCGTCTTTACCACGTGCGATCGCCACATTTTCCCATTTCATCCCCCTTCCCCTCCCTCATCATCCCGGTGACACCGTCGGTTCCTCGCGGCTCTCAACGGAGGAAATCTGATAGAGGATCTTCGTCGCAGCTGATGGCAGCACTTCCGCAGCTTTGTCCCCGGAATTCCGGAACCTTGTTTTCTGGCGATCGACGAAAATTCTGGCCGAGGAAGGGGAAGGGGATCGTACGAGACGTAGAGACGGGGAGGGATGAGGGAGAAGAGTGGCTGGAACGGAACGAGAGATACTTGCGGAGAAATGGGTGCATTATGCATGAAAACGGCAGTTTGATAACCTGGACGGAGAGAACCCGTGTCGCGATGCGGCACCTCGATACCGATCGCGCATGTATATATGCGAGGACCACGCGCGGCCGTAAACGCGTACACACGAACGGGGACGTTTATGCGCCTCGCTTCCTGTGTTGTGTACAGGCACCTGCGTCACCCCAGGATGCAGGTTTACATCGCTGCATCGTCGGCTATACCGCGTTTATGCACGCGCCATCTCCCGCATCCTCTTCTCTCTCTCTTTCTCGTCCGGCTCTGCCACACCTTTGTCTTCCGCACCCTTAATGCGAACGATACCGGATGATGCGCTCGCTTCTCCGGCGCGAGCGACTTCCTAGCTGCCAGCGTGGCGAAAATTTAGTCGCGGAAAACACGATGACCTGCGGTCGATGCTAACGAACTTTTGCTTCGTTAGCAGAAAATTTGCGTGGAAATCGCTATCGCGACACATTTCGCGCTGTGTAATTCGACTCTGCCAAAAATGCACATTCGCACCCGAATTTCGCACATGATCGCATTTTCTCCTCTCTGCGTTAAGTATTTATTTCCACAATATTGGAGTTACAGATTTAAAAATTACGCTAAAAAGTCGAAAGAATTTTTATCATACTTTTTTTTGTTATATATTTCTACGTTTATATTTTAATATATAATTCGAAATATAAATTTTCGAAAAGTCACTCTAGAGGCAAAAATCGACATTTTTAATATCTTCTTTATGTGATAATTAATCAATAAAGTATTTTTATTTAAATGAAGAAAACATATAAACGGAATATATGAGATTCTTAACAAAAATGTTGATGTTTGCTTTTCATATTCTAGTAACTACAATACTATCATATATCATACGCATGTTTGTACGTCATGTGAAGTATCTCGAGAAAGCGCGTAACTTCCCTTTATGGCAAACATCAAAGAACTCTCTCTGTCACAAGCAAGAAAATATGATATAATCCTACTAACGTTCGTGCAACTAAATATCCGTCGCACAAACATTTCCATTCCATTATTCTCGGTGATATTTTTTTTTAAATGACTGTGACACCGTGATATGGAGCAACGTTTGTTAGCTCAGCGGTGTGTGTTTCCATTCTATATATCTTTACGAGCCATCTGAAACGTTCGCTCGTTGCAATTTGTGGCAGGGTCATTTCGCGTGTGCACCGCGCTGACCGTTTTCGTCCCTTGATATCGCGCTGCATCTGAGATGCATCGTGCGACCTCGCTACAGTTCATACATTTGCACCTGGTATCGCGCCTCCTGACTGTGTCCACGAGCTGGAAGCACGATATCCGAAGTTCGATCGCATAATAAATTCCGTTTCTCCTCTAAAAATTGCGATCGGCTCGCGAAGCGCGTTCTCCGATTCGAATAAAAATCCAATTAAACCGGCGGATTAAACCGCGACATATCCGTGACCCTTGTAACCGTTTGACTGCGTGTTTCTCTATATCTATGTATGTGCGCCTTGCGATTGATTTTACCCGTAAACCTCGCGAATTACTTTATCTCATTTCTTCAAACGACGTATAAAAGTCAATTGCATCTCCCCGAAGATATATCGAAACTTTTCGAATGTCGGTGATTATTATTTTCGGTTTTCGTGCAATTTTACGTTATCTTCGAGAGAGTATCGGGCGAACAATAGAAATATTTTCATTTCCAAATTCTGTTCGTGCGATTCGCGACTCGATGCGCATTAGATGCGCATTGGATGCTGCGTCTGCCAAGCGCGACGCAACCTACCGCATCGGTATACAATAATGCACCATTGTTATGTAGGCCGCATTTACATATACGCAATTTCGCACGCTCCAGCTCGCCCCCGGTCCACCCCCAGTCATCCATTCGTGTACACCCATTCGGTACGCGTTCGGGGCTCTCGTATGACGTCACGCACGCACTCGCATTTGCATTCACGCGAGAATTACACATTGAGAAAATAAACAACTAAGATAATCATCGAATACGCTGTATTTATGTTCTCGAGTTCACTTCCAAAAGTGGCCAAAGCGCGATGTACCATTCGCGAACTGTGATAAAAAATTAATAATAATAAATATATTTTAATAAGAAATTCTTTATATAAAATACATAAGCATTATAGTAAAAAAAAATCAATACAAGTAATGGTATTTAACAAATAAAAATTATTAATTTAAAATGCGGAAGAGTCGTATCAAAATCGGTATTAATCATGGATTGTAATATTAATTTGAATACGGTAGTTTAAAATTATGCGAATTAAAAACCGTGTGTGTAATGAGTAGAAAGTTCGTTCTCTTTTGCAGACATTTTTAATCTGCACTGTAATTTTCCGGGGTAGCCATTAACCGGACGGGTCGAGACTCTACCCGCATTTATGTATCTGACCTAATGACCCTCGCAACACGGTGCATTATACTGCGGTGGCCGCATCTGTTCTCTCGGACATATACGGACAGTGGCTAATGCTACACATTATCCACTCCATTTTCAACGCATTATTTCACCTTTGGCGAAATATTGATCTTACATAGGCTTAGTTTTAATTAACACCAATAATAATCTAATGCAAAATTTCGTTATAAGAAAATTATTAAAATCACGAAATAATCTATCAATGATAGCTGAATACAATTCACAAAATCTGTTAAAGATATCATCTTATGAATTTTGTAGGGAATGATTATTGATTATAATTTCCAATCGCCTCTTAAGATAATTTGTCAAAGGATTACCCTGGTTGAAGGAGTAAATTATAATGTCAAAATAAGATAAGAAAATAAAAGAATAGAGAATAAAATCAATATA